TGGTTTGGTCTTGTGTGGGGCTTTGGTTTTGTTTGGTTTTGGTTTTTAAAAGAATTTGATTTTTCAGGAGAAATTTGTATTCTTAAATCCAGAACAACACAGAGCACAAAGGATTCTTAAATGCCTGCATTGTTTTTAAAATGTCGTGTAAAGAAATAAGCTGCAGTAGATTGATATTTTGGAAAGTATGTATTCGGATACGTCAGACGATTTTATAAACTCCTGTTTTGAACTTTATTTTAAACTCTTTTTCGTTGGTCCAGATGTTAGATCCTATATGAACTGGTTTATTGTTGCTTTTGAAGTGTGCTTATTGTCTAAATGTCCAGCTGAATTTCATTTTGCATTTTTTTATTATGTAGTTAAGTGCTAGGTTTTTCCTCCAGCTGTGGATTACAGCTGCACACTGCTTAAGGAGAAGTGTTAAGAAGACTTTACGAATACACTTTTTCATTGTTTGTTTTGCAGCCTCCTGATAATCAAAAGCTTGGTTTATTGGAAGCTTTATTAAAGATTGGTGATTGGCAGCATGCACAAAGTATTATGGATCAGATGCCTCCGTTCTATGCTACTTCACACAAGCCTATTGCAATTGCCCTCTGCCAGCTTGTACATGTGACAATTGAACCTCTGTACCGCAGGTAAAAGTGAAAAGTTGACTTCTGTTGCTATAACGGGGAAAACTACTGTTTGTTTATAAGCATGAGTTCACTAATAAGCCTAACTGGATTGAGACACTTCCAAAATTTTCCCTTCTTTCTCATGTGAAATGCTACACATCTTATTTTTCAGAGTTGGTGTACCTAAAGGAGCTAAAGGGTCGCCAATTCCTTCTTTGCCAAACAAGAGAGCACCAAAACAAGCAGACAGCTTCGAGGAATTGAGAAAGGAAGTGTTCAACATGCTTTGTTACCTTGGTCCTCATCTCTCCCATGATCCCATTTTATTTGCAAAAGTGGTGCGCCTTGGAAAAGCGTTTATGAAAGAGGTTGGTATGGTGTTAAAGAATGCTCAAGTCTCATTAATTGTGTATGTATTCAAATACTGAAACATAAAAAACTATTTAAGAACAAATTTGGAAAATATTTCTTAAATTCTTGATCATTTTTACGATCAATAAACATAACAAACATTTTTATAGACAACTTCAGGCACTTTAGGTTTACAGCCTGGAATATTTAGTGGTAACTGATTTCTCATTATGATCTTCATCTTTTAAAACATTATCTGTGTATGGGTGTATTTTTTTAAACAGACATATGATACTGGTTGCATGGAAGCTTTTACATTGTTAGAGTGGCAGTGTGGACAGTGGGGAGCAATAACCTGATACACGTCCAGTACTTAATATAGTACTTTGTGTTCCACCTGTAGGTCCTTGGCAAGTAGAGGATGTTGCATCTTTTTAATTAGTGGGCTGTCCCCCTGTCCTGCCAGCTGAAGTGCTGCTGTTCTTGAACTTGTGTTGGTGACAGATGAGTTCAGTGTGGAGATCTAAAACACTTCATAAAGCCTCATGTCACCAACTTCAGAGAGAAGATGGCCTCTTGAGATCTGTTGTCTCTTAACTGTATCTTTAGCACATATATATTGAAAGATTGGTAGTACGGCCTGTTTTAAAAGGCTGGAAGTTGAATTTATATTCTGAACTTCCTTGGAACATTCTCAGTAGCCCAAACTGAGGCTGGTGATTTCTTTTGCTACTCTTCTGACAATTTGTTTTCAACAGCAGAGGATTTTAAAACTATTTTAAATAGTAGCTCAGAGAAACTTTGGAATCCATAGCTTTTAAATTAATTTTAAAATTTATTATTCAAATTAAAACAAAAGTGCTCTGAGCTTAAAAATATTTTTGTTACCTAGCTTTTTTAATTTTAACTTGCAAGAAAGTTGGAGAGGTTGGTGGATCTAAATGGTACTGGAGGGGAGATTTTCAGTTTAGTAACTTTTTTTTTCATGGAAGTACTTTTTATTTCAACTGCACTAACAAATATTGAGATGTTCAGAATTTATGTGCCACCTGAAGGGACGCCCAGCTAAGACCGTAGATAATTCTTGGGACTGAAGATCTTTGTGTCTAACGTAACAGATTTTGGGAAGTCAGTCTCATCAGTCTTGTAAGATGTAAAGGCAAAGCAACAGAAGCAACTCTAAATTTGGGTTCAAAGTAGTCTTTGTAATAAAATCATGGTAACTTCAAGCACTTCCATATCTTTGTAGGAGGAAATTGTATAATATAGTAGGAAATGGTATAATTTCTCAGCATCTTCTCATCCAGAATGATAAGATTTCCCAATGGTTAATACTTTGGTTTTATAGCATGTTTTTTTCTTGCTGGCCTGTGAGAAGATATTTGAGTGATAGGTGATGTTGCACTGACAGTGCAGTTAATTTGGAAATTATAATTTAAAGGGAGTAATTAATTTTACTGCTGCCAGCAGACTATTAAGGACTCCTTTGTAATTAAGTTGAAGTACTGAAGGTTTGTGAGAAAGCCCTTGTTCCTTTGTGGATGCATACAGTAGAATGGAGGTCATTTGGTTACAGGAACCTCATGCAGTTTTACTGTAATACATGAATATAATAATGTGTTTCTGACAAGAATGAGCAACATTTTAGCTATTTGCTCTAGGTTGGAACTGTGAAGAAATTCGTCAGTGACAGAGTGGTTAAGGTAACATAGGGAAAGTTATTTTTAATGCACTGTTACCATCAGCATGTTCTAGATGTGAAACTGCATTTAACACAGTAGAAGTACTTATACCTTGAGGTGATTTGGCTGTGAGTTAACTCGTACAGTAGTTTAAGAGTTAGACTACTAACATTGCACTGCAGCTTTCATGCTCAAGTGTACCTCTAAAATAATTGTGCACTTACTGGTGTGATAGCTTAATCTGCTTTTCATGCTGAGTGAAACAAGAAGAGAGAAAAAAAATAATACTGAAGACTAAAAGCTTAAGAGGGTATGATTGTGAAAGAAAGATGGGGAAAATAATCTGTGGTTATTGATGATTGGGTGGGAAGTCCTGGGGTTTTTTTTTTTTAGATAGAGGGTGAATCCTTAAGGGATTTTTATTTCTTCTCTCCCGCAAGAAAGCTCAGTATTTCATGTATAATAGGAGGTTTTCTTGGTGTTTTAGTTACTAGCTCTGTTTTGAACAAAGCCATTATGTATGTGAGCAATGCATTTCGTCTATGCATTTGACTTTCTGTTAAAAATGTTTTCATGCTGGCAGATTTGGAAAATGAAAGACTTAACAGACATGTGGCCCTTCAGGTTTATGCTTTTGCTGAGGTAGCCTTGTTCTGAAGCTGTTACATTAAGTATGCTACAGTTAATGTGTTTGCCTTTGTTACAGTTCCAGTCTGACGGAAGCAAACAAGAAGATAAAGATAAAATGGTAAGTTTATTTTGGAGGAAGGTGTTTTTATACCAGATTGTAGTTGAGACCAAGTATTCAGTATCTGTACAACTCTTCTTTCTCTAGAGTGTTAAAGTATAAAAATGTTTTAACAAATGTAAGTTACAGACTTGTTTTGATTTTCATAGGCGAGTTTGAGCCAGTCATAGGTGGGATTTTTTTTATATTCCCATCTTCTTTTTTCCTTTCTCTCCTGCATTCCTCAAACCTGATCTTGCTCTTTTAGTTTAGTGCATTCTATTTCTTATTTGCTCAGAATCAGCTAGGATATCTCCAGCTATTTATTCTAAATAGCCTTTTTGTGGTGCACCTTGGATCCCAAAGAAATTACTGGGGAAATGCATAGAGAAAAAAAGAAATTAGAGATAGGGGAAGTGTTTAATAATGTAATGGCTAATTTTTCTTTATCGACTAATTAACTTCATTCTGAATGTTCTTATTTATTGAATTATTAAGACTGGTCATAATGAAATCCATGTGCCTGGTTGAAATTGAACTTCTAAATTCAAGTTTGTTTACAAAGTTTGTGCAGTTTTCATTATTTCTTATTACTCCTTGTTTCTCACTGTCGTGATTTCCTGACTTCTTGAATCACTGCAGAGAAAATTAGGCTCTCTTGTTGGTTGTTTTTTTGGTTTGGTTTGAGTTTGTTTGGTTTTGGTTTTTGCCTCTTTTTTAATGTTATGCTTATTCTAACAGCTCAATGAAAAGGAGGAGCATTTAAGGAAGGGTGAGGATAGGATAGTGAAAACACAGAAATTGGTGCTGTGCCTTGAGAACTTGTATATTGCCTTCAGGTTTTAATCTGGGCTTTTGAAAATGGAAGTGGTGGCAAGGAGTACCTTAATACATAGAAAGGTGCCAAAATCTGTTTTGTCTTGTTGCAGTTTGTGCAAGTCCACAGTATATCTGTTTTAAAAAGATTTATTTGATTTGAAATTATGAGTGCAACTTTCTGAAAACTTGAGCAGCTTTGCTCGAATGTTATATAGGCAAACAAAATATCGACAGTATGTATGCTACATGAATGATCTAGTAAAAGATTTATCATGGGAGATATTTTTAAGACCTTTTAAGATTTTTGTTTCTGTTTAGGAAGTCTTAATCTTGTGGCAGATTGGTGTCTTATCAGCGTGCTAAGATGAGCAATTCATGCATATCTGCACAGTGTGCGTATCACTGCTTCTGATGTACTTGATAGTTACCTCAAGTGTTTTGTCTTTATCTCAGGAGACGCTGTTCAGCTGTTTGTTGAGTATTACCGATCAGGTCTTACTGCCATCTCTTTCTTTGATGGACTGCAATGCGTGCATGTCTGAAGAGTTATGGGGAATGTTCAAAACTTTTCCATACCAGTACCGGTGAGTAGAAAAACTTGTTTCCGTTCTTTGGAAGTGACAATTCTCTCTTGAATTGCCAGTACTAAAAATAGTTTTCCCTTATTATCTCTCAAGGTACCGTCTTTATGGACAGTGGAAGAATGAAACATACAACAGTCACCCGCTTCTCGTGAAAGTTAAAGCTCAAACCATTGATCGAGCCAAATATATCATGAAGTAAGTTGTCTAATTCCATAAATCATTATCTACTGTGAGACAAGGTATTGCATGTCACTGACTGGAGAAAAAAGGCATGACAAATACATTCCTTTTCTTCTGAGTCAGTAACTTCACTGATAATCCTTGTTCATGAAGTATTTAATGTACTGTTATAAAAAAACCTGCTTTTTTAAAGAGATGGACATGCATGTCTTGAGTTGTAACTAACTTCATCTTAAACTGCAAATTCCTTATGTGACTTGACAGTTCAAGCTTGTCTGTGAAAAAAGTGCACAATTTTGTTAATGTTTATTTGACATCAATTTCAAAATGCAAAATGGAGCATTTTCTTCATATTTTGCTGTATTACTTCAGAAAAGGAAAAAACACTGTACAAGGTCTTGAGAAGTTTTGTGATGTGTACGGTGAAAATGCCTTAAAATGATGGCACTGTCAGAATTGGTTTATAAATTTTGGTTTGGAGATCTGGATGTTAAAGATGCACCGTGCTCAGGAAGGCAAATTGAAGTTGGTAATGACAAAATAAAGTCTTCATTGATTCTAGCTGGCATTTAATAATGAGAGGTTGCCGATAACCTTAACGAATTGAAATTGCGTGTTGAAAACCACTTAAAACAACTTAGATACATTACAAAGCTCGATATTTGGGTACCACATGAGCTCAGAGAAATTCACTCACTGAGCACATTGATATTTGTGATTCTCTCTTGAAACGTGAGGAAAACGATCAATTTTTGAAACGTACGATAATGGGTAATGACAAATGGATCGTCTACAACAACGACAAATGACAAAGATCATGGAGCAAGTGTGATGAACCGGCTCAAAGCACTTCAAAAGCAGATACTCACCAAAGAAAGGCTGTGCTGTCAGTCTGGTGGGATTTCAGAGTTGCTGTGTGTTTTGCATTGCTTCCAAGGAACCAAACCATTGGTTCGGACATGTGCTGTTGTCAGCTGGATAAATTAAATGATGCCATCAAACAGAAGTGTCCAGAACTGGTGAATCACAAAGGCGTTGTGTTTCTCCATGATAACGTTAGACCACGGACCAGTTTGGTCACTTGTCAGAAATAGTTGCAGCTCGGATGGGCTGTGTTACCACATCCACCATAATCGCCAGACCTGGCACCATCAGACCACCGTTTGTTTTGTGCTTTACAAAATACCTTGAATGGTAAAACCTTCACTGCTGATGGGGATATCAAATTGTTCTTGGAACTGGTTTTTGTCAGAAAAGAGGGGATCTTTTTCAAGTGCAGAATCATGAAGTTGCCTGAAAGATGGCAGAAGGTAATTGAACAAAATGAAAAATACATTTTTTAATACAGTTTTTGTTTCCCATGAAAAATTTGCCTTTCATTTACTCAGAAAAGAACACAACTACTTTCTGGCCAATCCAATAAAATACAATCCATGGTCATATAGGGACAACTGGTTTGTTTGTATCATCTGAGTATTATAGGAATATAAATTTTGGTTTCCCAGAGAAATATTTCTGTGTTTAGATTTCTTAAAAACACATCTGCTAGTGAGTAATCTCTGTGACTAATAAAGGTGTTTCTTTACTGCAGCTAACCTGTTGTTTTAGTATCCTTTTAGCTTGTCGCAATAAAATATGTTCTCTTTACAGGCGTTTAACCAAGGAAAATGTGAAACCCTCTGGAAGACAAATTGGGAAGCTCAGCCACAGCAATCCTACAATTTTATTTGATTATGTATGTAGTTACATGTATTGGAATACTATTTTGTGCTAACAGTAGATATAAAAGTATAGGAAGGGACCTGTTGTCTTAGGGAGAGAGCAGTTCTAATTTCATTGGTTTGTACTTTTGATGCAAATTTGAGAATTTGATCACTTGCTAGTAGTGCACAAGTATGAAATATTAAATGGTTCTTGCATAACCACAACTGCACAGAAAACTACATTCACTTATTTATAGGAGTAAAGTATTTAATTTGAGGTACTTGTGGTGGGTCTCAGAGGTGCAGGGATGTGCTGGTCAGGTTATGCTGAATGCAAATTCAGGTTAGGTTGCTCGGGGCAGTTATTTGTGTGTATGGTGAAGATTCATCAGTGTCATTTAGAAGAAAACAAAGTTTTGAAGTCTGAAATACACCTACGAAGTTTGGGAGGGTTTTTAATAGTCTATTGTAAATAGCAAGAGAAACTCTTAAAGTTTAGGATTCTTAAGAAATCTTAGAAAAAGAGTGAAATGTTTTCACAGTTTTATTTTCTGATACTTGAATAGAAGAGTAATTCTACAGAGTTTTAGTGTGTTAGAGACACGTTTCACTGATATCTCTAAAGTACTAGATTACCTGTGTGAAAAGTTGTTTAGGACCTTTGAAGAATTAATTTCAAAGCATGTTTTGTGTAGGTTTTGAAGACAAGCATTGTTAAACAGTTTTGATTTATTATGTGAAAGATAGGGAATACTGTTCCTGTTCAGCTCAACATCTTTTTTAACTTTCAGATTTTATCACAAATACAAAAATACGATAACTTAATAACTCCGGTTGTTGACTCACTGAAATACCTCACTTCCCTGAACTACGATGTCTTGGCATGTATCCTTTTATGTGAATCAATGCATCTGGTTACTGATAAAGTTGCAGATTAAATTTGTTGTCTGTGAGTAAATATTATCTTCTGTTGTTCGCTGTCATTACTGGTTTTTGCTGGAAAGTGAAGTTTGCAAGTACCTTTGATTCTTAGTGGGTTACCTGACTCCCTTTACTTGTTCTTTCACACTATGAAAATTGTGCTTTATTTTCATGAGTTTTTTACTACTTTCACACTGTTCTTGAAGGCGTAGTGATCCTGTAAATGGTTTGGTAAATACTGCTTTTTAAGCTACCCTTTCTTTAGTGATTGTGATTTTTTTATACCGTAACTATATTAGTGGATCTCCTATATCATGCTTGCTATACTTGCATATCACGTTCATGTATTACAAATTGTGGAGCTTGAAAAACAGGTCTGTGTAAGTTTTCTTTTCACAAATGGAGGAAAAATATTCTCTTAACTCCACTGAAGACTGTATCATTGAAGCTCTGGCCAACCCCGAGAAGGAGAGAATGAAGCATGATGATACTACAATCTCGAGCTGGCTGCAGAGTTAGTATTCTATTTTTATTACATTAATGTTCAAAATGCTTCACCTTCCCTATGATCTACCATCTGATTTTTTAAACAAAAAAGCTTCCAAGTTTAATCAGTAGGAAACCATTTTTTTCCTTTTATTAAAAAATACGTCTATTGCTAACATTCCACGTGTACTTCGTTAGTGCTTGTTTAATGATTAGCATCTTATGCAGTGCAGTCACAGCTTCTCTTCTTGCTTTAGGTCTGGCTAGCTTTTGTGGGGCAGTTTTCCGAAAATACCCGATTGAACTTGCTGGCCTGCTTCAATATGTAGCCAACCAACTGAAAGCTGGGAAAAGGCAAGTCTTGCACAGCTAGTCTTTATAAACTTGGTTTTTATAATGTATTACATAGGCGTTTGCTGTAACGTGGCAGCTCGATGTAGTAGTTACTGTAGTAGCGGTAAAACTCCATTCCTAATACCAGGAAAGTTAAGAAACATAAACAGCAGAAAGAGTAATGTCTTGTTTAGGACATTATTTTTCCTCTAATTGTGCAGCTGTGACATACTCATTTTTAAGAACGTATTTTTAATCTGTAACTTACTTTGATGCGGTTTTCTTGACCACTAAGCAGACGAGGGAAAAATGCTGGTCTGTAATATTGTCATTGCATGTTATTTAAAAAAAAGTGTGATATAACGGGATGTCACTGTTACAGGTTTCTTTTTCCTTCTCATAATATCTTCTCCACAAGGGTGACTCTTAACATTTTAATATTATTTTAAATACTTTTGTCAGTTTATTTAATGGCAATCAAATTGCTTCTCGATACATCAGTGTAAATCATAACTAAAAAAAAAAATTTAAACAAGGTTTGCAATTTGAATCTTCCTTTTCCATTTGTCCTTCCGTCATTATCACTTGGTGTTATTGTTTATTTATTTATTGTGTTATTTTTATCACATAGGTGAGTATCAACTTTTTTCTATTATGAATCCCAGTATGCTTACTGAAAGACAGCTTACCAGTGGAGATCATGCAGCATGCTATTGTAGGCTGTTTGTGTTGAGAAATCTAGTTTTTTCCCTTCCCTGCAATGTAGACGCTCAGTCTCATGTGCTCCCCTGTCCCCAATTTGTTTTGTATTCTGGTGATGGTACTATCACATTGAGCTACAGAGGAAGGGTAAGTAATGTTTCTTGTCTTTCCCCAGGATTAAGTATTGAGACTTAAATATTTTGAAAAAAAAACTAAAAGAAGTATTCAGTGTAGTATTTGGGATCATAGAAATAAAATTGATTTACCACTATGACAAATTCCGTAGGACTGGAGTATTCAAGTATTTGAATCGAAGTGTATGCTGATGTTGCACAGTTCCTAGACAGAAAACATACTTATGTTTGGAAAAGCATTATGAACAATATAAATTATTTAAAAATAAAACTTAGTTTTGGAAGGCATAGGTCAACACTCTTTATAAGTAGGTCACAAATTTCAGAAGTTACTGGAAACTGTCTTGGTGCCATTTACTGTACTTGTGTTGAGGAAAAGGTCATTGCCCTTACAGAATTCAGAGCAGGAAGTGAAGCCTGATCTCTGGTCAGGATGATGAAGGAAGTGTTTTGTATATTCTATGTTTTAAATAAAATCTTTTCCATGTTCCAAATAACCTCTCCAGACTAATTTTGCTACTAAATTTCTAAGGCCATGTACTATTCTAGAAGTTTTTAATAAAATTTGAAGTATTCCATGTTCATGGAAGTAACTGTATAGATACAGAATGAAGCATGCAAAACAACAAAAGGGAGCAGTGAACTTTGATGAGGTTGTCGATGCTTAAAATGTAGTAGCACCACACTCACTGTTATTTTCAAAAACCATGAAATTGTTCTTGAAAGGGTTCTGAAATCCAGCTGTTGAATGCTTGCATTGCTTCTAAGTACTAACTTTTTACTTGCAGTAAATAAATCCCTGTGTGCTCAGCATACTGATTTCTTCTTCAAAAAGAACTAAAATGTTGTTTTAATGTACATCATAGTGTTTCTTTATACTGTTTATTGAATGTCATAGCTTCCATTTCTTGAACAAATTTTCATTTTTACTCCACTTTCTGTTTTCTGTGCAGCTTTGATTTGCTTATTTTAAAAGAGGTAGTACAGAAAATGGCAGGGATAGAAATTACAGAAGAAATGACAATGGAACAATTGGAAGCCATGACTGGTGGAGAACAACTAAAAGCTGAGGTGTGTTCATGTTAAATTTAATTAATAATAGCTGTTGCTTATTGATGGTTGTTCTAAAGGCTGATTCATGAGCTCTGGCAGCACAGCTGAGAAAGGTATTACTGCTTTCATCAGAGAGCTTCCCACTCCATTGAGCTTACAGGCCTTGCAGACAGCCTTAATTGTTGTGCTTCACAGCATCTCATTAACAAAAGCAGCCTTCATTACCCAGTGTTATATGACAGACCTGTGAATTATAGCAGCCAGGGGGCTTGTATGTTGTGCAGTCCTGCTGTTGTAGCCCTGCTCTGGGTGTAGCAGCTCCCTGTTGAGTGGAGTAACTTCTTAAACCATTTTAACAGCTAAAACTGTTGCAGCCTTGGCATCAAAATCTTAGTTGAATCTGACCTAGAGTCAAATCTCTAGGGAGCTGAATAATAATCGGAACTACGATCTGGAATTCCTGTATGGAACAGAGAAGAGACTTTGAGCAGATGACAGCAGACCTAGGTCTAAAATGCAGTGTCACGATGCCTGGGCTGAAATGTCACTCTTCGTTTACTGTGTAAAAGGCTAATTAATAGTATGCAAGACTAGTTAGTTTCTGATTCATATGTACATACATTGCAGTACAGGATCCAGAGAGAGAGTTATTAATGGGCAGGAAACTATTGATGTTAATTCATCAGTATTTCTACAGTCAGAGGCACTCGTGGTTTCCTTTTGTGATGCACTATTTCCACACTTGGGTAACTTTTTCTGTACTATGCAGGGTGGATACTTTGGTCAGATCAGGAATACAAAAAAGTCTTCTCAGAGACTGAAAGACGCGTTGTTGGACCATGATCTTGCCCTTCCACTGTGCCTGCTTATGGCTCAACAGAGAAATGGTGTGATCTTTCAGGAAGGAGGGGAAAAACATCTGAAGCTTGTGGGAAAACTGTATGATCAGGCAAGTAAAAACACTTGCAGTTATAAGAACCCCTACTTTTCTTTGATAACTTCTAATGTATGAATATAGTATATAAGAATTCAGCACATAGATAAGAATATATAAAAATTTAGCACAAAACATGTGTGTGTGTATATATATATATAAAAGAATTTTCAAAATCAGTTACAGCGATATTAAAATTTATGGCTGTATTATATATTATATTGACAAGTGACTTCTGAGTGAAAGATTAAAAACATCCTTTGTCATAAGAAGTTCTTTGTTAAGAAATTTTCTGAGTACTTTTAGAGGAACTTTTAAAGAAATATCCTGAAAGCCTCTGCTGCATGAGGCAGTAGGAACTAGTTTCATTTCATTCTGGTAGAACAGGATGCTCGTAGAGTTCTTCTGGCTGTTGTAGGGCGCTCTTTTTGTGTGTGTGTTTGTATGTGCAGACAGGGTTGAGTCAGCATTGAGTGACAGGAATATGTGGCATGGAAAAATCAGTATCTCTTCCCTCATGAGAAATATCTTGCTGTACTAAACAAAAACATGTTGTTAACTTTATTTAAAAATGAATTTAAAATAGCTTTCCATCTGTCCTTTACTTAACTTTTGAACAAAATAATACTGTTTGCTAACTCTGTATTTTTCACATGTAGTGCCATGACACCCTGGTACAGTTTGGTGGGTTTTTAGCATCCAATCTAAGCACAGAGGATTACATTAAGCGAGTGCCTTCTATTGACGTTCTCTGTAACGAGTTTCACACACCTCATGATGCTGCATTTTTCCTCTCGAGGCCCATGTATGCACACCATATTTCAGTAAGTAGAACCCTTTTGTTTGCCTGCTGTTAGTCCATATTACATGTTATTAATGTATGTGTTAGGTTCCTGCTGAATTTGCTAAATAAAAACTGCACAAGCTTTATGAGTAGAGGTGGAAAGAGGAGCTGTGGGCTGGACCAGGTTATCATTTATCTTCATAGAAAATGTGGCCCATGTGTCAGCTCTCACACAACTGACAGAAGTTGTAGCTAATGAAGTCATCTTTCTGATCTGGGTGATCAGTAGGAGTTCTTCTTCCCAGTTCCCCCAAATGCTAAGTTCTTCTGCAGATGTTTTAGGTGGATTTTTGCTGTGGAGGAAAATGTTGCAGCTGCCAAATGGTGTGGGATCTCAGGAAGTGTCAGAAAGAAATTTGTCCCTGCGTCTAAGATATTATCGAGAGCAATAACAACAGGTAGCAGCATCAGTGAAGAAAGATAAATCCATCCAATATGGATGAATACTAAAAGTGTTGTACGATGTTCTTCAGTGTTTTATGTACATAAGTGACGTTTCACGTGTGTAAATGTTACACAGAAAGTTAAATTGTATTGTAAAAGTTACAGTCTCTGAGTTGAAAGATTACAATTTTTTAATTTTTCATTTTTTTATACGCAGTCAAAGTATGATGAACTAAAAAAAGCTGAGAAAGGAAATAAACAGCAGCACAAAGTTCACAAATACATTACATCGTGTGAGCTGGTGATGGCTCCAGTTCATGAGGCTGTGATTTCTCTGCACCTTCCCAAGGTTTGGGATGACATCAGTCCTCAGTTTTATGCGACGTTCTGGTCCTTGACAATGTATGACCTTGCTGTCCCACACAGTAGCTATGACAGAGAAGTCAATAAACTTAAAGTCCAGATGAAAGCCATAGATGACAATCAGGAAATGGTATGTTTATATAATTTTATGTTCGAATTTAAACTTTCTAACCTTGAAAGACTACTTTTTTGGTGAAATCTTGTATTAAGATCATTTAGCTCTGGGAGTTTTGTCACCTGATTAATCCATTTTGATTTGTAACGTTCACATAATTTAGATTTACACTTCCTTATAGTTCCTGTGTTAAAAGTACCGGTGAAATTTCACTAAGTGAAAATTATTGGAAAATTGTGTTTTAGAAAGCAGTCTTTGACACCTGTATCTGTGGTATAGCTGTTCGCTTTTGTCTGAACTTTATTGAGCCAGTCATAAAATCAGCTGATTACTAGAGCAGAACATTACTTAGTGAAATGAAAACTATTCAGGTATTCTTCAGCATTATCAGGAATTTAATTGCTCTGTTTATAGCAAGTGTTGGTATAATACTAAGTGAGTTGCATGGACATTTTGTAGCCTCCAAATAAAAAGAAAAAAGAAAAAGAGCGTTGCACAGCTCTTCAGGACAAGCTCCTTGAAGAGGAGAAGAAGCAGTTGGAGCATGTGCAGAGGGTTCTACAGAGGCTGAAACTGGAGAAGGATAACTGGCTTCTGGCAAGTAAGTATGTCTAGGGGAAGCAGTCTGAATGTTTGTGTAGTCATCACTCTTCTCAGAACTGGAAGTTCAGCTCGTGCTAATACTCCTAATGATTTTAAAACTTGATCCCTTTATATGTTGAGGTCTGTTAGCAAGGTAAACTTTTAATTAGAATGTCAGGTCTTTGCTGCAAATGCTGAGTAGTTATTTTTTAGGGAGCTGTTTTGTTTGTTTCTTGCAATGTCAAGACCTTTCAAATACTACAGTAATTTAGAAAATAAATAAGAGATTGACCAATTCAGAGGAAAATTGTAATTACAAGATGGCTTGCACTTATTTACTGCAGTTAGGATGCTGCTAGGTTAGGATAATTGCTACATTGCAAGAAATAGGCATGTGAGCTCTCAATGAGTGGGTGATTAGGAGCAATATGCCAGTATTTGGGCACGCGGAACACGCAAGCTGTGTTCTGATGACAAGATAAGTATTGTGCCAGCCTAGGAGCATGAAATGAAACAGCATGTAAATGCTTCATATGGTAAATATGCAAGAGGGAGAACAAACTTCTTTCTCTGACAAAGCCTCTGTAATGTTCCATATTGATTATAAACTCTGCTAGTATGGTTAATCTGAAATGTGTTTCTCTGGTCAGTTTTCTTCTCTCTAAGAACTTCCAGTTTGTGTGTTCATCTGTCCCAAGGTACCTAGCGTAATCCAGTGGAAAAGCGTTTTATTGTCCGACTCATGTAAGATACACCCAACTGATTTAATGAAGAAACATTTTACAGTTAAATCAAGAAAGGTTATTCTCTATAGATACTGTATTGGTACAGACAGCTAATTAGCTACATGAAATTACTGGCTGAAAAATTAATACTTGACTGAAGTGTGGTGTGGAGCTGACTGATGAATCTGTCTGCTTAAGGAATCGCCGGAAAGTGTAGAAAATTGTATAGATAATGATCTCTTAATAATAGAGACATTTGTGGGGTACAGGGAATAGCTTATTGTTGGCTCTTAAGTGCTCAGGCTTCCGCTGCAAGAAATTTCCCAGCATTGCATCCAGAGACTGACCTAACTTTTTCAGCAGTTTCCCCATTGAAAGAAATTATCTGTAATTGCATATGAGGAAATTGAACAGCACATCCACTGCAGTAGTAATTTTAAATTATTATTACTTAAAATTACTAATACTGATTTAAAAATCCTGCAGCCAGTCACAAGTGGTGTTCCCCAGGGCTCAGTTCTGGGGCCAGTCCTGTTTAACATCTTGATCAGTGATCTGAATGAGGAGATTGAGTGCTCCCTCAGTCAGTTTAAATCCTGTGTGACCTAGTTTAGGTGATCCTGATCTGACAGGGGTTGGAGTGGATGATCTTTCAAGGTCCCTTCCAATTCCTCATATTCGGTGATTCTGTTAAAAAAAAAAATACTAGCTTCTTGCGAAAATACTTTTCACAGAGTGGTTATGTCATTAAGAGTAGGTTAATTTTTGGCAGAATAAGTAGACTGGTAGCTTTAACAATGGGAAACTAGCTATTCTGACTGGCTGCTTACTTGCTTTACTCTTACACTTTTGAAGTAAAACTAAAACACTTGATTGTTTTATGAGTTGTGGTTCTCTTGGGTTTTTTCTTTTTTTTTTAAGCGTCAAAAGCTTGTATCTGGCTTGTATCTACCTTTGAGGGGTAGACACTAAAATAAAATTAATGTAAAATTTTTAGTTACGTGAAAGCTGACAGTCCTTCTACAAGCTTTATTCCATGAGCATCACCGAATTGCAGCAAGTAAATCCTGGTTCTTAGGACTGTGCAAGCAGCCTGTGCAAGAATCCTAGTGCAGAAACACCGGTTCCCCTCACGAGGATCATGACTGTTCTTCCTCTGAAGGCAGCTGTTTGCAGTCTTCAGTTCTGTGCTTTCATCCGTGTGTTTGCTTTCTTCCTACCCTCCCCTTGTGCTGTACATCCCTCCCAGCTTGTAGTAATGATCCTTTTAACTGGGCAAGAGCTGCTGTGGGACCAGTTTGTGTATGTGTTTGGCTGTTGTGCTGACCAACCAACCAACCAGCTGTGGTTGGCCAAATGGAAGTGGTAACGGTTGAGCCTGCGTTGCAGTCTTTTACTGAGTGGTAGAACGAAAATTTAACAGAATGTGTGTGTATTGGGTTGGTGGTTTACTGAGTTACTATTTAAACTCCTGTAATTGTGTTTGACTGGAAAAAGGATTTTTAAGGTGCTGTGTAGAGCCAGCATGTTCTTCCATTTCTAAGGAAACCAAGCTGAAAGTCAGTGCTATCCGGAAAGGACAAAGCAGGTGTTCTAGAGAAATAGCAGATGGTGCTCCTTTTGCTAATGTGCAGAATTTGAGCAGTTGGAGGAGTTTACAGAAGTGTTTTTGGAGCCTGTTTTTCCTCCCCCACTATTGTGTAATAAAAGAATTTTCCCAGTAAGAAATAAAGATTTCCTATAACTGTCCTTCTACTGTCCCACCATCCCCAAACAGTTAAGCTTATTTTGACTTTTTCTGACCAGTGCCAAGATATATCTGGAATACAAGTGGTGTAATAGACAAACTCGAGAATATGGATTTGCGATACTGAGCTTCTTGGGAAGAGAACAGTAGAGTCTTAACCTGTTAACTAACTTTCTTCTTTTTTCTCTCAACTTCTTTGTTTTTGAAGAGTCTACCAAAAATGAGACTATCACAAAATTTTTGCAGTTATGTATATTTCCTCGATGCATTTTTTCGGCAATAGATGCAGTTTATTGTGCTCACTTCGTAGAACTGGTCCATCAGCAGAAAACACCCAACTTCTCCACACTTCTCTGCTACGACAGGGTAAGTAGCTAGGGCTGTGTGTGTGTATGCACTTAATTACTACTATGAGCATGCAAAATTAGTATTCCCTCTGCCTCTGAAGAAAGGTAAACAAAATCATTGCCTCTGTTTAATTCTAGAGCCTGTGATAGTCAAAAGTTCTGGTTTGTCCTTCAGATCCTACAGACCAAGTTTCTCTAGAGCTTCAAGGGATTCTTTTCAAGAAACCTTTGTCTTTTAGTTATCCTAATGACACTAGGATTTCAAAGCAAAGTCCTTAGCAGTCATGGGATACTGCATTCAGGTTTTCCAGCCTTCCAGTGGTCTGCATTTCTGTGGCCTCATGTAACCTAACCTTCCCATTTTAGCTGCATGTGCCCTCCTACTGTAGTGTCAACTCTCTTACACTTGCCCCCCACAAGCAGCATCCGTAAGACCCTGCTCACCCTAGCAAGTAGTGCTATTGAGAGTGGACTTACCTGTGTCACTGCTGGGATGTGGAAAGGGGCTCCCCTGGTGACACGGGGAGTGTGTTTGATAGCAGTAGCAGCCTGACTTGCTGGGTCTAACAGGCAGTTGGAGGTGGCATTTGCTCAGGCTGTTCTCACTGTTCATGTAGCAGTTCTTTCTCTCCTGTGGAGGAAAAAAGGTGGAGAACGTAGATAGAAGAATCTTCAGGATGCATTCAGCTGCAGTGGTACCAGCTGACTGTACCCCTCTGGGGTATTGGAACTGTTCTGGCACTTACTGCTGCAAGAAGTCAAATGGAGTTAATGCATGGTCTGTACAGTTACAAGAGATTTGACATGAGCTTTGACTAAAAAGTGTATGGGGCTGTATTGTAAAAAGTTATGGTGAAGGTTGTTTTCATATGAACTGAATGTTCACTGATTTCCTGCATCCAAAAGAGCATTCTTCCTCAAATACTCAGTCTTTGTTGTAGGTGATAAAAGTAGGGAACTGCGTGAGCCCTGTCTGGTGAAACTGTGCAGGCCAGGAAAAAAAAATCCTTTTGCATCAGTTTGGTTAGGTATTTACTTCTACCTCATCAAAGAAATTATTAATTTGAAAAACAAAACAGTTATATGCCGATGAAGTCACACTTTAACTATGGATAACTGTGGCAGCAGCAGCTATAGGCAGTGCTTAGATTCTGGGCTAAGTGTGACAGACCAGCAGTTGGGCAATAGTCTTGAAAGCAAATGAGACTATTGTATAAGAGATCTCCTTTATATTTAGAAACGAGGTGGTTAGATGAGAAAAACTGGAAGTTCTTGTTGGCCCTTGTTCCTTGTGTAATTCACTAAAGTCATTGTAACTCTTTATTCTTGCTATTCACAGGTTTTCTCTGATATTATATATACAGTTGCAAGTTGCACTGAAAATGAAGCTAGTAGATATGGCAGGTTTTTATGCTGTATGCTGGAGACTGTGACTAGATGGCACAGTGACAGAGTCATATATGAAAAGGTATGTGAGGTTATTAAAATGTGCTTGCTGGTAAGACTATATAATGGCCGCTTGTGTAATTCAGTAAAAATAGACTTTGTGAAATTGTTAGTTAGGTTTAAAAACACTGAATTGTTTTGATGGCTTAATCTTAGAATTGAATTTCTGTAATTCGTGTAGTTGTAATAGCGTTTTGTATAGTGACAAAAAAACATACTACCTAAAAAATCTTACACTTCTGACTTTTCTGTGACCTTGTCTTGAAGATTATTTAGGGAGCATATGGAAACTCTCTTAATACTCCTTGTAAAAGCTAGTGAAATGGTGAACAGTCTTTTCTCTCAGCCACAGCTAAGATTTCAACATAATTAAGCTTTTTTTAAAAAAAAGTAACTGTGTAAGTCTTGTACAGTGTCGTATCTTAGTCTTTGGTAGAATTAGTGAAAAAGTGCTTCAGTTAATATGGTAACTTCTGCAGAATTACTGTTTTTATGCTTCCTGAAAAATAGTTGTTTTGTTTTGTGTCTTTTTTTTTCCTCAATTCATATGTAGGAATGTGGTAACTATCCAGGCTTCCTAACTATATTACGGGCAACTGGATTTGATGGTGGAAATAAGGCTGATCAATTGGATTATGAGAATTTTAGACATGTGGTACACAAATGGCACTATAAACTAACTAAGGTAGATGAAGATGCCTAAAAACTTACAATTTTGAAAGTTTTAATTAAAAAAAAATAAAAATCAACTTAATTAGATTTAATTTGTGTTCTAGGCTTCTGTGCACTGCCTCGAAACAGGCGAATATACACATATCAGAAATATCCTGATTGTGCTGACTAAAATCCTTCCGTGGTATCCAAAAGTGCTGAACCTGGGCCAAGCTTTGGAAAGAAGAGTACATAAGATATGTCAGGAAGAGAAAGAGAAGAGACCTGATCTATATGCATTGGCTATGGGGTAACAACACCTTACTTTAAGAAAGTGGTTAAAAGTGGATCATGAAACGTTTCTAAAGACTCGGAACTGTTACAGTCCTAACATTTGATTTTTACCTTATCACAGAAGATTTCGCTATCCTGCATCTAAGGGCTGGCAGTGTGAATGGAAACTTTCATTTTGTGCTGGATGATCACTAATTTCCTTTACAAGACTCTAGGAAAACACTCTAAATAGTAAAGATTTCTACTTGCAAGAGCATAGCTTAATTTTAGAGAAGTAGTATAGCGGCAAGTAGATAGGAAGGGGGAGTAAAATGAAGAAGACCAAGGGCTACTGATGTAAAACCACTTAGATCTTGGAAGCTCATGGGATTCTAAAATGCTTGGTTATGTTTTGCATTTGCCTGTGATGAATGCGGAGTCGTCCATGTATGCTTGAGGGGCAATTCAGGTTGCCCTAGCAGTTTTAAGACCTGTCAGTAGACTGTTTCTTCTGTGTGTTTGGCAGGTGTGTGTGGTGGTGAAGAGGGTGTGGATGTAGGGCAGCTTCCGTGTCTAGTGCTTGTTTGTTGTTCTGGTTTTTTTTCTTTTGAGCTCATCTATAAAAAGGGAAGAAACTGCGTATCAGTTGGGGAAAAACTGTGAAATAAATAACAGATGAACTGTTAGATTAGATCCTCATTTAAAATTCAACCCATGTTTTGCTTTGTTTGTGCATATTTAACAATCTGTGCGACTTGCAGCTATTCTGGGCAGTTGAAAAGTAGGAAGCCTTTCATGATACCTGAAAATGAATTCCACCACAAAGACCCACCTGCTAGGAATGCTGTAGCTACAACAGTACAGAATGGGCCAGGTGGTGCTGCGATGCCTGCATCTCTCACAATAAATACAGTTAGACTGGAAGAAGGCACTACTGAGGAGACTGGTAAGCAAACCTATTATTATTATTACTTATTTTTTAGTAGAATTCTTCAGACCTTACAGGCTACTCTCTCAAAATTTGGCTCATTAAACAGAAAAGAAGAAATATAAATGCAGTGCTAAATAGGGTCAGTGTGTGCTCTTTGTTTATTTGGTTTTGGGAGAAGGTGTTCTGTGTTTAATTACCTGTTTTAACTATTAGCTACACATGCTCTTATGTGAATATGCTTAGGTTCTTGTTTTATTTTAACTAGTAGGATGTATGCTAACTTGCTTAAATAAAGCTCTTATCTTTTTTTTTTAAACAGATAAACTAAAGGAGAAGTCTCAGGGTGTGGTGAAAATTATCAATAAAGCTGTCAGCGCTACACCGAAGGTGACAACAAGCAATGGAAACAGTGCTTCTAATAGGTGAGAAAAACAACTTCGTCATTCTCTGTTTCCTTCTTTCCAAACCATAGAATTAGACTTGAAACTGAACTGCCTTTTCTTTTTTTTTACTTTCACATTCCATGTACATTTTCCACTTCTTCAAAGTTTAATAAATGAGATAATTTCTTCCAAAATACACAGCTGTACTGATCTGACACTGTTGTTAAATGCATTCCATTTTAGCTAAATAAAGATTAAAAAAACGATAACATTCACTTGTTGCTGTTCTGGTAAAGAGACAGGAAATCTAAAATTTGACAGTGACTGCTTTGAGAGTCTCTATCAAACCATCAGTACTAAAACTCTTTTGTGGTGAACCTACAGCCGGTTGCGTCCGTGTGTTAATTGACCTTTTTATTTTTGTTGCAGCAAAATTATTAAAGAGAAAGATGATAAGGAAAAAAGTGGGAAGGAAAAAGATAAAGAAAAAAAAGACAAGACTCCAGCTGCCACTCCAGAGATGAAGGCACTTGGGAAGGATGGGAAAGATAAACCAAAGGAAGAACGGGCAAACAAAGATGATAAAGCAAGAGAGATCAAGGAGAAAACACCAAAATCTGAGAAAGAGAAGGAAAAAGTCAAGAAAGAAGAAAAAGCTTCAAAAGAAGAAAAATCCAAGACCATTGTTACCATCATTGAGTCAAAGTCAGCTGCAGAAAAGGAGAGAGAAAAGGAGCCGTCCAGAGAAAGAGATGTAGCGAAGGAAATGAAATCCAAGGAAAATGCTAAAGGAGGAGAAAAGATGCCAGTAGCTGGGTCCTTGAAGTCACCTGTTCCCCGATCAGAAACATCAGAATCAGAAAGGGGTAAGTTTGCATATTTAAATTCTGTTCTTGTCTAGAAAAATAGAATGCGTCACTGGAAAACCACTGAATGTCAGAAGATGCTGGACACGGTGAGAAAAAACTACTAGACATAATTTTTTATTATGTCTAAATGGTCTTTCATTAAAATGTATTTGTGTAAGTGTAGCCTTGCAACTTGTGCAAAAATTTAACACAAAAACCTCAAGAGCGTACTCAGTTTCATCATAACCTTTGAATGGAAAGAAAACGGGGGTGTGGAAGATGTAGGCCTTTGTGTCCTTAAGAAGGACGTAGTGAACTTTATCAGTTCTTTTTTTTACGTTAAGGGTTAACAAATCCTTAATGTTGATATTTGAAGTCCTTACAATCTGAGGCTGACGTTGAGTTTTATATTTGCACTGCTTAAGGCAAACCAAGTAAAGGAGGGTTGTAAGGTTTTTCATGGATTCACCTTTTCAGGGTCTTCATAGCAACTCTGAAATTCAGACACAGACTTAAACAGAAAGGGCCTTTGAAATGAGCGTAATTTTTCAGCAGTTTGTTCACGTTAGACTTATCTTGCAAACTGCACTGAAGAGGGTTAAGGCACGCTGGTAACTCTAGACAGCTTAAGAAAAACAAAATTTACATCGTGTTAAAACTTGAATTCCATCTTAAATTATTGTGGTACTTCAGGGAGCTGTACTATTAGATCATCCTCTTAAATGTGTTTTAATAACGCTGTTTTTCTTTTCTTTCCTCAGAACTAAAACGCCGTAAAGTTGATACACATTCTTCTCCATCACATTCCTCAACAGTAAAGGTTAGTATAGCCTGAGGAAGGCAGCACCCATGTTAGGCTCACAAGTTTGGGATGCCAATGTTCGACTTCCTTCAAGTTTTGTGCCAAGTATACACTGGAACCACTGGAGGTTTTAAGTTGCATTAGAAAATGCATTCCTTTTCTTTATTGGTGGACTGTCTTTTTTTCTAGAAAGATATTTTTAATTAACCAAAATAATGCTTCAAGGACCTAGCACAAATTTTGTAAATAGTGTTTGGAAATTGCAAGAGAATTTTTACACAGAAGTGCCTCATTGTTATAAGCAGTCAGTTTTTTTGGAGTGCAATGGTAGCTACAAGCAAATGAGTCTTTGCAGCAGAGTGGAGCATATTTTTCTGCACTTCTAATGAAGAATCTGTAGCACTGAAGATTCCTGGATGATACGGGATGTACGATACCTCTGAATTCATCAGGCTTCTTGATGAGCGTCATACCGATATGTGCCTTCTAAGGAGGAGTCTTGAAAGGAGCTCCATTTTAAAGTCTCCTTGGTGATCAGTTCTCCTGTAGTTGTGTATATTCAGTGCGCATGCAGCTTCTGTTGTACCTTCCCTTCGAGGTTTGTTTATTTCCAATGGGTTCCCACCATGTTGAGCCCTGCGTTACGATAAATCCAGATGTGGCAACCAAGCCTCCTACCCAGCAAAGAGAAACCCCAAGCATTCAAGCGCAGCACAAAACCATGGGCGTAGCCTACTTGAAGACTCAGGGTAGCCATTCCTTGCTCCATATTTATTTTATTTCTAAACCATCTATGTTCATGGAATCTTTGAATTTGCAGTACGTTGAACATTTAAAACTGTAAGTTACTAATACTTCATCAAGAGCACTGTGATGGATTATGTGGGCCTTTAAACTTCACCATCTTACCAACTTTAGAACAAGCTTTTCTTTTTTTCTGTTTTTTTTCAGAGTGCGTCTTTTTCTATGTAAGATATACTCGATTTAAGCTAATTTTGGAGAACTCAAGTAGCTGTTACTAGTGTTGAGGAAGCAGGTGTCAGTGGTAACTATTCAAAATGACAAAGTTTTTCTTGCCTGTTTTTTGTAAATGGCAATGTAAAGTCATTCTAGAGCGACTTCTACCACGTTAACTGCAAGTGGAGAAGGTACAGGTTTAAAAGCCATTTTTAAACCTGTTTCTCCTATGGTTCAGCCTATTTAGTTAAGTCTATATTTTTCTTTATTTTGTCTTGGCGGGGGAGTGTTTAACTGTTTTATGAAGAATTAGATACAAATATATTTTGTAGTTTACTTAATAATTGGGTCTAGAGAATAGATGGCTGTCTTTTTTTTCTCTTTCTTTCTTTTAAAAAAGTATTTCAGTTCCTAGCTTTATTCAGTGTGCAGTATTAACATTTATTCCAGAAGGACTAGCTGTTTTTTGTCTCAAGGGTACAACCATGCTTCCCAAAGTTCCTCTGGTTTCTGAGAACTATTCCAGCTTACGTGTCATCTCCATTCATTTTCTACAGGACAACCTCAACGAACTCAAGGACTCTTCAGCAAAGGTTTGAATCTTTTAGACACCACCACAGTTTACTTTCATGTTTTGTTGCAGAGAGAACATAACTTTTGGTCTTGTGGTAAACCCCATCAGAAAATTCAGATTCCATTCCTGTAAACGCTAGTGCAGTAACAGACTTTTTCAGTCTGCTATATAGAACCTTGCTGCAGGAGAGAGGCATAGTTATGTGGAAGCAACATAATGAAAATCCCTTTAATTTACCATTCTGTCAATGCTTTTAGGAGATTTTACCAATCAATATCTTTTCTGGTCATCTCTGAAACTTGTGGATTCATAGGAATGTCCTTATGATTAAGCCATTTATTTGGCTGAAGAGGCAGTAGAATAGTTAAAATAGTTCTCAGAATAGCAAGTTCTTTTTTGAAACCAATTACAAAATAGTAGTTATTTAAAACCAAAAATATTTGAGACTTATCTCTAGAGCATCAGTGCTTTTTCCCATTACTACTGTTGTATTCATGTTTTAGTGCTATAGTGCTGTATTTGTAAGCATCAGAGACAGCCTCCTAAATGGTCATCTTTGTGCATTTGCTTCCTGTAAATGCACTTCAGGTTCAGTATCTTACGAGAATGTACGCTAAAGAATGCGTTCAAGAGTTCATGGGGTCATAGAGTACCAGGTTGGATCGTCTGGTCCAACCTTGGCAAAAGCACAGTCTAGACAAGATGGCCCAGCACCCCATCCAGCCGAACCTTAAAAGTGTCCCATGTTGAGGAACCCACCACTTCCCTGGGGAGATTGTTCCACTGGCCAATTGTTCTCACTGTGAACAATTTCCTCCTGTGTCGAACTTCAGTCTCCCCAGGAGCGACTTGTACCCATTACTCCTTGTCTTTTCTATGTGACTCCTTGTGAAAAAGGAGTCTCCATCGCCTTTGAAGCCACCCTTGAAATACTGGAACATGGTGACAGGGTCTCCCCTAAGCCTCCTGTTGTCAAGGCAGAACAAACCCAGTTCTCACAGCCTTTCCTCATGGCAGGCTTCCCAGTCCTTTGTTCATCTTTGTGGCCCTTCTCTGGACCTTCTCTGCCCGGTCCTCATCTTTTTTTATAGTAGGGACCAAAACTGAACACAGTATTTCAGGTGTGGCTTGGTAAGTGCTGAGTAGAGTGAGAATGAGTTCATGAGAGATGACATTTTGGAATATTACATTTTAGACATCTATTCTGTTTTGTTTTGTTTTTTTTTTTAAAAACTCATCCACTTGTATACTAACAGTCACAACCACTGTAAACTTGCTAATATATTAGGGAATAATTGCTAATGGGAAATGGACCAAATCTTCAAAAGTTGCTTTTAAGGCTTTGGTTACGCAGCCAGTATTCACATGTGAATAAACAGTACAAATGTTTATCACTGGGAAAATGCTGACCAACTTTTCAACATTCAACATGACCAACATTTCAACTTTCTGGGTAACTTCAATGAGTTTATCTAGGATTACTTATATTGACTTAGTTTAAAAACGCATAGTGCACTATCACTTCCTATTCTGTATTTATGCTGCTGTCTTACTACAGCTTGCTTTGTATAAACAAAGTGTTCACAGCACTTAATGTGTTTTCATTCAAAATAGCTCTGATTTTATAATGGACACTTACTGATGGTTTTTTCTAATTGAATTTTTCCAGTACCAGCCATACATACTTATAGGGAAAATGTATATAGGAAGAATCCTTTGATTCTTACAGTTGATGAAACTGGTGTCTGTAGCTTGAATCCATATATTCTCAAAAATTATTTACAAATCATTGTCATGATATTTTTCATATTTAAGTTTGGGGGGTTTTTTTTTGTTTTTTATTTGGAAAACTGTATTTGTCTTGAGCTCACATCTGTCTGAAATGTGGTATTTGCTAGTCTATGATCTCGTTTTCCTCCCTTACTGTATTAGTCAATATTCAACTGGTTAATTGAAACTTCACTCAAGTTTTTGTTAAACTAAATTTTTATTTAAAACTATTTACCACATCGATGTGTTAATAAGTAAAATAATAGACAGTGGAACTGTTTGTAATTAAATGATCAACAAACAGCTTTGTTTTTCTAGTCAATTTGAAAAGTTAAATTTTAGAATTAACTATAATGCTAATTATACGACTTAGCTGAAGTGTATTGCAGCTCTGTGACTTTTTACTGGATTTATTGTTTTAAGTACTCAGGTGATGGGAGGTGTCCAGCCCTTTCCTTCCTCTTCTTAATGCTGTTTTTCATTTTTGGGTTGTTTTTTCCCCTCACTTAATGATGTAACTTTCATTCTTCAGTACCATTCTAACAGACTTAAGGCACTTCTTGACAGTGTTCCCTATACATGGTGTAAGACAAGTTAAATACTCTTCTTTACTGCCATGTATTTGTTTGGGAAAAGGATGGGATATTCAGATTTATGAGTTCAGCTTCTGCAGGAAGCAAAAGTCCAGTTCTCTTGTATGCTCACAGGCTTCCTTTATTGCCGACTTTGCCCAATTTTGGGGAGCAGGCGATTGAAATGTTGCAGGATTACATTGCACGTTATACCATAAATGGTGCCAGACTTGAGTTAGGTGTGGTTTTTTTTTCTGCTTTAGCCTTTGCCCAAGTTACACAACACACACCAACAGTGCCCAGAGTTTGATACGGTTTCAGTTAGCAGCATTTCTAGAAGCAAGTTGATAGAACCTGGTGAGCTAAATTCAGCCTTTTCCTATAAAGGGAAGCGAGACATGCAGTTTTGCAAAACTCTGCATTGAGATGGTAAAGAGCAGTGGAGTCTGTCGTGAACGAGCGTGTGAACTTAAGAAATGAAATGGGAGAAAGCGGAGATCCGTGTTTGCTTTCTCACGTGGAAAATATCCCTGGGGAACAACTGAATGGGACGGTGTAGAAAAAACACATTTGCAAGTCACTGTTAAAAGTTGACAGCAAAGAAGGAAGCAACGATAAATGTACTTGAGTGGAAATGTAGGAAACGGAAGAAGAGAAGAGGAGTGAGGGGAAAAGAGCAGGAAAAGGTGTCTAGTGAAAGGAGTATTGAGGGCTCAGCCTCTGGTGCAGGTGGAGAACAAAAATCCAGTTAAGTAATAAAAGGAAAAGGACCTAACATTGTCAGTGTGACTTTTAACAGAGGTTCAGTAACATCAGGTTTTGGTAAGTTAAACATTTACCTGAACTGGAGAAGGGCAGGTTTAATTTAATTAAAAAAGTAAAATTATTCGAAACAATATTTGGTTTCGTTCAAGTGACTTCTAGATTGCTCTAAACTGATCTTCCACTTACCTCTTTCTTTGGTGTCCGTTTAAGTAAGATCTATCTCTAAATAGAAATACAGAGAACATGAGTTAAAAGGTATTTTATTTGTGGGGGAAAAAAAAAGCTTATAGGGAAAAATTAAAGTGTACTGATTTAAAATGGTGTTGCTGTAACGTAAATATTTAAAATACCAAGAAAAGGTGGTTTTAGTTTAAAATGTGCTCTTATAGATATTTTATGAAAAGCATTACTGAGAAAGATCTGACTATATAACTGTATTTCAACAGACTGCATTAGTTAGTGTTGGGTCAGTCCTGGCTTCTGTATGTCCTGTTTCAACAGGACAGCTGTCTGATTTGGTTTGATGTTTCGAACAATGCTAATGAACAACATTGTGTGTATTTAATGCAAGTGTTTTAGTTTAGAGAAAGTGAATTTCTAGGGCTGAGAAAACAAAGCTACAGGTTAAATTATAGATAACAAGTTCAAAAGTGTCTTCAATAACTTTTTTTTTTTTGCTAGTAAACTCTTAATGTTTAATTTTGCTCTTTGAGCTAAATCTGTTTTGTTAGAGTAAGACTTCTTTATTTACACATTTAGGAATTCATATTAATATTTGGTGATATTGCCTTAATTTAACAGCACTACATTAACCACACTACTCCAGCATTGTCCAAGAGTAAGGAAAGAGAAGTTGAGAAGAAAGACTTGGACAAGTCAAGGGAGAGATCCAGAGAGAGAGAGAAGAAAGATGAAAAGGACAGGAAAGATCGAAAAAGGGTTGGTGCCGTTTTTATGAACTAGTTTAGAAAGCTGGCATATCCTTGGAAAGCTGTGTTCCAAATTCTTGCAGTAATAATTGGTTGTACAGCCTATCCGAGCAGAAATGATCCATATCAGTGCTGGTTTTCTTCTGTTCTGTTACTTTTTCAAACGTCAGTTTACAGTAATGTATTCAGAAC